CACATGGTTACCAAGGTTAACAATGCTTCAGCTTGTAGGTGGCGAGCGTCATGCCTGAGAACTTGCCGTAGGAGTACTGGCCCAGAAGTACGGATTCTGAGCCCTCGAGCACACATTGTCGCCTCGAGGAAGTTGGCCACTTGGTCATCCGCAGGAGGCTTAGACAGGACGCATGGGAGAAATCCTGTTGCCGAAGGAGGCGCTTAGCCAGCTCCTCTTCAGAATTTGTCTGTGCCACAAGGAGCTCATTTTCGCCATCCGAAGTTGCCGGGCACGTAGAGCATTGAGACCCAGAGACTCTGGCCCAGAGCTCTCCAACCCGAAGAACCAAGGAAGGTTGGAAGCAACTTGTCGGTTGTCTGGTTGATGGAGGCGTACCGCAAGACCATGCAGCTTACGAAACTCCATCCATGCCGAACATGTCCAGAATTCGGACTCTGCGGAAGCTTCGACAACAACTCTGCGGCCTTGCTCGACCTGCTCCCGAATCACCTCCATAGCGAATCCGAAAAGCACGGCCTGCTCAGCCAGCTGCTGCGATGAGATAGTAGAGGAGGGAGCCGAAGGAAGGTTGACATGCACCACTCCAGGTCGCTGCTTGTCCAAGAACGAGCGAAATCTCCTGCGGTGATCTTTGCTCGAGGCGTTCCATCCCACCTGCGTAGTGAATGACTGATGGGGAGGTGGAAGTCGCAGTCCGCGTTGACGCAATGCCGTAGCGGTCGGCGAGGTCTGGAAGAGCTCCACATAGTCAAACTGAGATCCGTGTAGCTCCCGAAAGCCCTGTCGAGCCAGCTTGGCCACAGCTTCCTCGGCACGGCTGCTCTCGTCTGGGCGAAGCTCGCATTCAGTCATCCCAGCCATCAATTCAGCAAGCTGGCAACCTCGCACTGCCCAGAAGGGACCGGAGGACTTTGGCCTTCCAGCTTCGTCAAAGCCAAGAACAGCGGCCAGTGGATCACGAAGTTCATGTAGAAGCCGAAGAGGTCGAGGACATATCCAGCGAAGAACCTGCGGGCCATCAGAGGAAGTCACAAAGGAGTCCTCAGCCGCCAGCGCCTCGATGTAGGACTTGGTCTTCCGACCACACTTCATGCCACAGAACTTGATCGCCCGGGGCGTGTCCTTCCGAAGTCACTTTCACCCATGGCAGGCGGGTCCATGATGGTCGCAAAGATTCACCTGCCAGGCCATCAATCGCTCCAGTTGGCAGAGGGCATTGGAGAAGCCAATACGCGGCGTCCCCACCAAGCCCTGTAATCTGAGCCTGCATTCCCAGAGACAGCTGTGTCCAGGACAACAATGAAGAGGTCATGGACAGAGCCGACCAAGTCATCCAGGTCGGCCACGTCTTCAAGGGAGGTCGCCCGCGTTGGGGTTGTCGCCTGGTGCTGAAACTGCTGACCACTGACTGTCGGGGCTCGTGGGATCCTGGCCCGAGCTGTCCACCTGCATGTCCTCCTGCACAAGCTGGTTCACCTGCGTCATGTGGCGCATTGGGTCAGGGCTTGCAAAGTCACGCTCAGCTCGGGGTGAACCGGGTCCACCAGCACCGCGTTGTCGGTCGAGGAAGTCGCCCTCGTCGATGAGTACCTTAGCGGCGTGGTAGTCGGAGGAGTGTACGGAGGCGCCGAGGTCACCGTGGTCGTTGTTCTTGACTTGGCCTTTGCCTTCCGTCCAAGTGGCGTACTGGTTTGCTCTTCGTAGTGGATCTCCCGGGTGAAGACACTTGGCTGGCTCCTGTCGAGGATCCGTCAGGTAGCGCTGGCGTTCCGAAGCAAGACTCTTTTGAGTTCGCTCTGCCACGGCCAGTCGGAAGTAGTTCACGCGGATGGTCTCCAGGGTGTAGAAGACGCGCAGCACCATCTCCTGCCATCGTTGAGGTAGTCGACGGTTGCCTGACGTCCCCGCATCTGTCGCCGAGCGAGGCGCGTGCTCCATGTATTGGGCGCTAGACCGGTTGGTCACGTTGCCCATGGGGGCAGTTGAGCCTGAGGCGTGCGCGGAACACTCATGAGCAACACAAGAAGACACCTGATCTTCTACCAGGAAATGATCACGCACGTGAGGAACTGCAGCGTCATGGACAGAACTCTCAACCGCATCCTGCTCAGTGCAAAGCCCAGAGGCGAACGTGTCTGCGAACCCCGACTCACTCGACTCTTCTTTTGCGTATGCGGAGGAGACCGCAGGCTTCTTCATGAAAGCATTGTCCTGAAGCCGGTACTGCTCCTTGGCAGCCGGAGGGACTGGAAAGTTGCCACCATTCCACTGGACAAGTGGGATGGCTCGGTGTCCGGTGGGAAGGTTCGTCATCTTCATTTCCACGCCAATCTTCTTGAAGTTCAGGCGATTCGAGACCAAGTCCAGGGAAGCACCCAGGTGCTCAAGTAGCCCGACAGAGAGAAGTGGCGGAACTCCACCCTCGATCACCACGAACTGGATCACACCTGCATGGAACACCTCCAGGGGAGATAGGCACCAGCATAGTGCGCAGGACCTTGGCCGAGCCGCCGATGCCAGTAGGAGTCGACGCCGTAGTGGGAACTTCGAGAGCCTGTAGTCCACAGCGTGAGAGCTCATCCTCCAATGCCGTCCTTGCCTTGTCCCCGGTGGTGTCCTGGGTGACGCCGATGTCGAGGATGGCCATTCCAGAAGGCAGAGCAAGAAAGCTCCACTGCTGATTACGCGCGTCGCTGATGCCGGCCAGGGTCACAAAGCTCTCGGAGATTTCCTGAGAGTACAGGTCCTGAACCAGGAAGGACAGGTTATTGGCACTGGAAGAAGCAGCCATCAAGGAACCTCCGAGATAGCAGAAGCCGTTGATCTTGGGAGCCTCACCTGGCGCGGGCTTGCCACTCCTGCAGTCCTCAGCCCAGTGTCCTCGTCGTCCACAAAGCCGACATTTGGAGATCTTCTTGAGCTGCTCGCGGGAATACTTCTTGCGACCGCCCTCGCCATCGCCATTTTTGGTGAAGCTTTGACGATCCTCGCGCAGGTCCGCCTTGAACTTCTTGTTCTCCTTCCAAGTGCGTCGTCGTTTCGGAAGCCGGTTCTCCACTATGGCAAAGACGAGCGCAGCCTGCTCAGAGGAGAAGTTCAAGTCCGTCAGCTCGGCGAGAACGGCCTCATCGTCGAGAAAGTCCTCGGGGGGATCCTCGCCGTCATCGTTCTCGGACTCCTTGTCGTCAGACTCCGCAACGTCAAAGAAGCAGTCGTCCGCCTTGGAGGTAAAGCCGAGGATGCGGTCTGAGCGAACGTCCATTCGGGCTATAGAGTCGTTGCCACCTTATCCACGTTGTGGTCTTGACCTTGAAGGAGGGCAGTCAGGTTCTGGAGACCTTGGTCGCTGAGGCCAGCACCTTCACGAAGCATCGTGGCCTTGAGCTCCTCAGGAAGCAAGATGCCATATCCAGCGGCCTTCGTGAAGTCACGCATCCGTCGAGTGACGTACTGCGTGAGGGTCTCTTCCCGCTTGCGCGCGCCATCCTGCATTATAACCCTTGAAAGCGGCACGCTTGTCGTCGTCCTCCCGGACACCGGCCTTCAACTCTAGGACCGCCAGGATGTAGTCGAGGTACTGGGCCGAGGAGAGCTGCTCTTCCGTGAGGTGCTCAAAGTCGACCTGAAGCTCCCAACCCAAAGTTCGAAGGACCTTCTGTGCCCGTCGGTACACGGGGACGTCCGTCAACTTGTTCCACCTCCGAATAGCAGCAGTCCACTGCCGTCGATATTGGAAGCCTGGCCATGCTGGTGGGTCAGTGAAGTCGCCCTTGTAGCCGGAACCATTTCCAGAGGCGGGAGCCCCAGGTCAAGGCCAACTTGGGGGACTTTCAAGAGGTCCCGGCATCATGTTTCCCCACCACGTCGCCGAGGATCCGGAAGGTCGAGTTCCAGGAGGTGGTCCACCAGCACCAGGTTGATGTTCGAATTGCATGCAGAAGAAGGCGCCGAGGTTGCCGGTGCTGTCCCAGGAACTCCCTGCCACAGACCAGCCAAGCCAAGTCCAGGAAGAGGTCCACAGCCAGTGGCTGTAGGCGCCACAGTACCGGCTCCCGAAGCGCCCCACACGGAAGTTCCAGGCCAGATCATCGGAGACGTTGACCAGTTCCAGTCTGCGAAGTTGCCAGCTGCTGAGCTCCAGAAGCACCAAGACCCCGACGAGCAGCAGCGTCCACAAGCTCTCGAGCGCCCGCAAGCCAGGGATCACCGTGTCCTTGCAGAGAATCGTGTCCCCATGGGCCGCCAGATGCCGAAGTGGTAGGGCTTAATCGGGTAGCCGGAAGCGTCGAAGGTTGGGCCGCCGCATCGAGGCCGCCAGGCGCGCCGCCAGAAGTCGAGGCTTCGCCAGGTACAGCAGAAAACGAGAATCTTGCTGGATCAGCCATTTCCTCAGGCCATCCACAAGCCCCAAAAGATTGAGCGCCCCAAGGAGTCGTAGTTGCGCAGTGGTAAGGAAGTCTAGCCGAGGACCCATCCTCGCTTGACCAGTCGTAGCCTTGGGGATGCCAATCTGAAAAGGTTCCTGCAGGCGTCACGTGAGGTCCAGGCCAATGTGCATTGCTAGCGTAATCACCTTGCCAAGCGGAGTGAACGTTGACTGGGAACCCAGAGGCCATAGCGGCACTGGGCTCCGCTACCAACTGTGGCAGCCAAGGGAAAAGCAGCTAAGCTAAGCACAGCGGGCCCTCATTTTCCTCATTGCGCCTTGAGCCACGAAGCGTGGCGATCCTGTAAGTTCCTGCTGACCTCAGGAGTCCTGGTCAAGACTGGTACACAACACCTATAGGAGAATCATCACAGAAGGCTTGAAGAGGTGGGCTCAGCACGCAAGGTCTGTGCACTCATACCGCTGCGTGTCACGTTCAAGATTTTCCCACCAAAACCTTAAACTTAAAGGTTTGGCCGCTGAACACGAAGAAGGCCTTGTCACTCTATCTAAACCCCCAGCCATGCGTACTGCAGCGCGTTCCTGGATAACCACTCAAGACTTGTCATTTCTTGCTTTGAAACGCATTTGCAGTGTCAACTGTTACTGCATGTGGGGCCCCGAAGCCCTTCCTTGACTGCATATTCCTTAAGCTTCACACAAAAGTCTTTTGATTGCCTGGAGAAGATTCACTTTCTTTGGGATCGTACACTTCCTAGGAACGCATGTCTCTGATGAACAGTTCGTCTGTGTGTAGTTTCGCCAGCATCAACCTGCCCTTGCAGCCACTCCACAGTTCTGCACTCACAGGGGTGTTTCAGGATAACGGCTTTGCTGCGCAGCTGTAGATCTTGGGTTGCTGCCTCATTGTGTCGTGCAGCTATCCTTTAATGGGAATTCCCCCACTTCACAGCCCAGAAATCTGTCCGCAACCCACTGTCTGTCAAGCCTGCCTTCATGGGATTATAAGGGCTCTTGCCCGCTGACGCACCATATGATAATAGGAGAACCTATGTAGGATTCAGTGCCTTGCCTAGGCCTAGTAGGTTGAAGGGTTCTAGGTTCGAAGTTTCAATTGCAGAAGGCCTTTCTGTTCGCTCTGAACCACAAATCTGCCTCTGCTGCGCAAGTGAAAAATGCGTGTTGGCTATTTTTACGCGCTTAGTCCCAAAAGCCCAAAAGCCTGGATACTTTTGGTACGGCTTGGAACCTCCAAGCTACTGCAGCTGCATGTAAACCGGACTCCCAAGACTACTTTCTTTGTTGGCTGTTCCTCTGGGGCCGAGGCAAGAGAGTTCTGGCGTCAACACCTTTGAGAGAACCCAGCCCTAGCAACCTGCATGTTTCCAAAGATCGATGCATGGCTCTTAGCAGCTCACTTCAATTGTTCAAGGAAGGCTACAAGCTTCACGCTTCACAGCACAAAACACGACTCCTGGAGAAACAGGGTCGACTTGACATGTTCTCGACATGACGGACACTTCGGGACGATGTGCAGTGTGGAATGTGAGCACCTAGGCTTATTCATCTCGCCGCTGTCTGGGGAACTTGCAAGGAATGCCAGGAACAGGCCCTTGCCCAGAGCAAAATGTGCCACAGCGTACGGGCTGCTGGGTCCGGAGCAGATTGGTGGTTAGTCGGGCATGAAGGAAGGGGATGTAAGGATAACTGAAAGGGATGACAATACAAAGACCCATGCCTCCATTCCTCACTTACCACAAAGTAAGTAAGTTCCCGAGGCTCCCCAGTGGTTCCCAGGATTCGTTTGGTTCCCAACACAACTCCTAGAGAATATCACGAAGAGGGACCCTATGCTTGCTTTGTCCCTAGAGTCCCTAAGGACTCCCCATTCCGTGAAACCCCCAGTCGCCTGGACTGGACAAGGTGTCCTGCTGAGCATCGTTGCTTGAGACTCAGACTCTGCGCAGTCTTGGGCATGTCAGGAAGCAGATATGAAGTTGCAAGGAAGCAAAACCATGTCTGCGAAAGGCGTCTGCAGGACATGAAAGGAAGTCATTGGATTTGTGCTACATCGGCCGCATCAGTTGTCCAGTCACGGCGAAGTGTGAAGACTACGAACTAGCCATTTGACAGGGTGGGATGCGCGACCGTTGCTTCAAGAGATCACCTGAATGAACTGCAAGGCTTTTGCTGCTGTTGGCCTTCGAATCCTCTGCACAAAGATCTAAGGTGCCGACAAGTCAGGGCATCTCGGTGCTGGCGTCGGACTTGCAGCACAAGCCATTGAGAAAGTTGAAGCTGCCAAACGTCCGGAAGCTCTCTAGTGTACAGACTACCTGCAACTGGAAATTGCACCACCACATGTGCATGGTGAGAACATGAGCGGTGTTCTACTGCCTAAATGCTTGTCCTGCACAGCTAGCAGCAGGCTCTCCATCCCAACTTGCTCAAAACATGGCAGGCTATATGCTGGAGTCTGGCACAAAGGCAAACAACACTCAGCAAGCATCTCGCCAGGCTTCTATTCAACTTAAGTGCCAGGAAGTGGGACAAGAGCTAGTGCAGGTGCTCGCAAGTCCAAATAATTCAGCGAAGATTCAAGCCCTGCCGAGGCCCCCTAGGGCTGTTGAAATTACATGTTCCTTTGCATCCGTCCAGGACCGTGTACGTGGTCTTCTGCAAGCCTGATCAGCCGTGCTACAGCGCCTCATGGGCATGAAAAGGGGTTGCAATACCCTGCCTAACAGGTGGTTCCCATAAATTAGGGTTGCCTTTGCGGGATTCCGAGTATCAGGAAGCCAGTATTTGCGGCAAGACTGGAGGAACTCTTATTCCTGGAGCTACCCAACTTACACCAGCTGGCACTAACTGGTACCTGGACCGGGTCTGCTCGCGCACGGCGGCTGGCAGTTTTCGCCTGACAACAAAGTCAGGTAGATTTAGGTTTAGGATTCAGAGTGGCTAGCCTTTGTGATGTTGGATTTCTCCTATCTTGACCTGCTTCCAACAAAGCTGCAACACTTGGAAGGCCAAAGCCATGTGTTGGGAAAGGATTCCCCCGATAAACCTCCCTGTTTTGCACATGAAGCAGTGAGCACTCCTGATTCAATCCAGGTGCAGACTGGCGTTGACGCCAAGACGGGCACAAGAAGGGGGCCTTCCTAGAAACCCCACGTGATTTGTGTTGGTTGTAAGGGCTTCTGGCTTTTGGTATTAGGGGTTATAACAGGAATATCTTGAGAAACTTCCACATCAGCGCCACGCAGGAGGCAAAACCTTTGCAAAGGCCTGAAATGCTTCCCTTGGGCCTGACTCTCAGAATCTGTTCAGCTGTTAAATCAACCCATCTGAACCTGTTGAGAGAAACATGGATCTCTGCATAAGGAAATCATTTCCTACAAACATCCAACTACGCTGTCCTTGAGCTGCTTGCTGAGATCCTTGTAAGCCCTCGAGGATGCAGCTGGATGAGTGCAGCAGGCTCGGTCTGTCATCCCCATGAAGCGCATGCGCTGTGCCCAGTCGTAGTTGAGAACACCCTGCACATAAGCAACGACTCTTACTTGTGGCCTGGGCCTTATAACGTACTTTGAATCGGTGAGCCCTAATCCCATGTACCTTAGATTTGATATTGGACTTCAGATTGGCAAAATTGCAGGATCTTGATTGCCACGTTGCAACATGCACTATTCTGGGCTCTTCCTGCAAAGCAAAGTATGGCCTAGCTCGTTTAGTACGTGGGTCCCATCAAGTCACTGGAATCCAATTCCCGGACCATTGTGCAGAAATGTAGACACAACTAGTCGTCTACTTTCTCACGGAAAAAGGGCCTACGTATACTGGCCACTGTTGTTGTGAAAGCAGAGTGGTTTTGAGGGCGAAGCTTCCAGTCGAGGTTCTGAGATGCAAACTTAGGTGGGCAAGATCAGCATCTGGTCACTGACAACAGATGAGGCCCAACATATTTGCACTTGTAGAACAGCAGACGGCAATGCTCGCCCTCTGCACTGGCCATGTCGGGGCAGACCGTCCTTGCTGGAGAGAGCGGCAGGCACTTTGACGCGAGTGAAGGCCGCAACGCGTAGAATATTGACACCCCAATTTGGCCACACGACCATTCTCCAAATATCCAAGGCAGGAACCTTGGCCACTGCAAAGATGAGTCGCAGCTTTACAGCAGGTCGCCGCTAGTTGCCATTGATTGTCCAGAGCGATTTCTTGTGTGCAGTTTGTGGCAGCCTGCCGCCCAGCTTCGTGATGTCTGCGCATCAATCTGGTCTGCACAGCACGATGGAAATATTCCTGGTGAGCTCAATGACTCCAGCTTAGGCGCGCTCGGTTCGAGCACTCTGAGGCGCACTGCCCCACAGAGGCTGGATCTCGATCTCGCACACGGAAACCCAAGGCTTTTGGCCTCAAAGACCAGGGGCGGATCCCCATTTATGAGCACGCAGTTCCCAGCAAGCGGCTCAAGTGCTGCCAACACACTTCCAGGTGCGTGCAGGGTAGGGTTTGCATTGATGGCTTAGCCCAAGGCAGGTAAAAGGCGGAAGAGGTTTTGAGACAGTCTTTGTCACACGGAACTGAAGTTCCGCGCATGCCCGAGTTGTGCTCACCTCCCGTTGCTTGGCACGTTTTTGGGCGGCCATGGTGTTTCTTTGAGGTCTTCAAATGTCATCCCTGTACTTTGGTAGGCGCAGGTTGAAACTAATACATACTGGTACACAGAGGTTAGCTGCAGTACTGCAGCTATGCAAACCCACCAGTCTAGAGGAGGCCTGTTGACCCTTAGATCTGCAACATGCCTTTGGTGATAAACTCTGAAA